ATCTCCGTCAGGGTCTTCCTCTTGTTGCTGATGTTACACTTAATGCTGCATGATAACCTTCGCCGGGGGTAGATCTTCCTGAACACATATCTAAATATGTGAGACAAAGTCTCAAAATGCCCACTTAAAAAAAATCATTTTATTGGGGGCTCGTACAACTCTTATCACAAGCCATCCATCCATCCATTGTGTCGAGCACATTTATACATTTGTTGCCATCATCATTCTCAAAACATTTCCTTTCTGCTTGAGCCCTTGGTATCAGCTCCTCATTTTCCCATCCATCCCCGCACCCCCCTCCCTCACGACCTCTTGATAATTTATAAATTATTATTATTTTGTCATTGTCTTATGCTGTCCAACATCTCCCTTTGCCCACTTTTCTGTTGTCCATCCCCAAGGGAGGGGGTTATATGTAGGTACTTATGGTTGGTTCCCCTTTTTCCCCCCACCTCCCCCTTCCCCTCCTGGTATGGCTACTCTCATTATTGATCCTGGGGTTTATCTATCATGGATTCCCTGTGTTTCCACTTCTTATCTGGACCAGTGTACATCATCTGGTCTAGTCAGATTTGTAAGGTAGAATTGGTATCATGATAATGGGGGGGAGCGGGGGTTAGGAACTAGAGGAAAGTTGTAGGTTTTATCATTGCTATACTGCACCCTGACTGGCTTGTCACCTCCCCGCAACCCTTCTGTAAGGGGATGTCCAGTTGCCTACAGATGGGCTTTGGGTCCCCCCTCCACGCTCCCCCTCATTCACAATGATAGGATTTTTTGTTCTTTGATGCCTGATACCTGATCCCATCGACACCTCGTGATCACACAGGCTGCTGTGCTTCTTCCATGTGGGCTTTGTTGCTTCTCAGCTAGATGGCCACTTGTTTATCTTCAAGCCTTTAAGACCCAAGACGCTACATCTTTTGGTAGCTGGACACCATCAGCTTTCTTCACCATATTTGCTTATGCCGGGAAGGTGAGCATCATGGAATGCCAGTTTAATAGAACAAAGTGTTCTTGCACTGAGGGAGTACTTGAGTGGAGGCCTAATGTCCTTCTGTTACCTTAATATTAAACCTGTAAATATATGCGCATAGATCTATTTCTCCATGATCATATATAAAATATTTACATATGTACATACCTGTATTTAGACCTCTGTAAAAGTCCTTTGCCTTCTAGTTCTTTCCTCTATTTCCTTTTACTTTCCTCTTGTCCCGCTATCATGCTTAGCCTTCATTTGGGTTTCAGTGATTCCTCTCGGTTACATTGCCCTTGATCACGCCTTAGCAGGCCTCCTACACCCTCCTCACCACCGATTTTGGATCGCTTGTTGAGCATTCTGACTGTAAGACAGATTTGTTTGTTTTCTGGTAGTTCGTGGTGTATTAAATATTTCTTGCTAGTACCATGAGCAGTTATTCTTTGGGCGTCTTTACTTATGCGCTAGTTTTTGTGTGCATAGGAAGCAACTGGTTTAGGTCAGGCACATCTGAGTCCTCAAAGTGACAGCTTTACTTTGAAAGAGGTCTTTGGCTGTCTCTCTGTTCCATTTAATGCATCATGTGATTTAGAGATTGCGGCTTCCACAGGTGTTGATTACAGATCAAAGTAAAACAAAAACTTCAGACTTTTCTGTTTATCATGATGTTGCTTATTGATTCACTTGTGAGGGTTTTTGTTTTGTTCATGTTGAGGTGTGTAATTCTTAGTGAAGGAAAGCTATAGTCTTTATTTTTATCAGTAAGTGCTTCAAGACCTCTTCACTTTCTGCACATCACAAGTTGTTAATGAGTCTTCCTTCAGCTCTGTTGTGAAGTTTCTCTTCAAAGTCCAGTTTCTTGGATCATTTGCTCAGCATACAGATTGAATACGTATGGTCAAAGGACACAACCATGACCCATATTGTCTTAGTCTGGGTAGACCAGAGAAACAAATTCATGGACACTCATGTATTTAAGAAAGAGCTTTATATACAAGAGCAATTGAATATTAAGAAAACGTCCCAGCCCAGTCCAGATCAGGTCCATCAGTCGGATAATAGCCCATATGTCCAATACCAATCTTTATAATCCTCTTCAGACTCACAAAACACATGAAATGATATTGAATACAGGAAGACCACAGGCCAGTGGGTGGGAAAACTTGTGGATCCAGTGGCGTTGTAAGCGTCTCAGCACTGACGGGTCTCTCCATGGCTCTTCTGGCTCAGGGCACTAGAGTAGTTCCATGTGTCTTCTCAACAGGGATGTCTCACAGGGAGTGAGCACAGAGTGAAGTGTCTCCTGCCTCCAAGGAGGAATACCGGAGTTCCCAGAATCCCCAGGAGAAGGCCATGCCCACACAGAGGCCTCATTGGCTCTGACCTGATTGACAGGCTAGACTCCACCCCTTCACATTTAATCCTCTCAAATTGACACATGATTATATAACTACCACACCATTCCAGATTTTAAACAAATTGGTAACCCCTTCTTCGGAGAACACTTGGCAGTAGATTTTTTTCCCATAACAAAAGACCAAATTCACTGACATCAAGTTTATTCCGATTCAGAGTGAGCCTATAGGACAGAGTAGAACTGCCCCTGTGGGGGTCCAAGTCTGTAAAATTTTTATAGGAGTAGAAAACCTCATCTTTCTATCATGGAGCAGTTGGAGGTTTCAAACTGCTGACCCTGTGGTTCACATCCCAATATGTAGATCTCTCCACTACCAGGGCTCCTTTAAAAAAGAGACAGGGAAACTCACTGCCATCGAGTCATTTTCAACTCACAGACATTTCAGTACATCGGGAAGTTGTAGCTGAGCCGCGTCATCTGGATGAAACTAACCCCGCAACAGACATTTCTGAATTAGCGTGATCGTGGGAAGAAAATTTGTGGCGTAGTAGATTCATTTACTCAACAAATTCTTTATTCATCTCATACTAGAGATGCAAAGATGATTTCAGCCTTAGTCCTATCCTCGAAGACCTTCTACTCGTACACATGTAGACATGCAGACGTTGATGTAACGAGGAATATGATATGTACAAAGACCACTGTAGATGGTATGATGTTTGCAGTCGTTTATTATGACTCTAACTCAAGGCAACCTAACACAAGGTCGTGCACCAATACTTCTGGAAATTACAGAGGCCAGGGCATGCAGGAGGGGGCTTCAAAAAGTTTCTGGACATTTAATAAGGGGATTTTTCCAAGTACCTTTTGTAGCCTTGTTTTCATCATCTGATTCCCTCATTCACTGCCCACCACCTCAGTGCTCTTCATGAACGATCTTTCTTCCTCGACCAGCACCTCCCTTTGAGGTGCCGTGATGGCTGCCAGCAGCCAGCCGGCGTCCATGCCAACTTCACCAATCTCATGCCCCCCTTTCACTAGTTGGGGGGAAAGTATAATTGAGGGGCTAATGAAGAACCACAGTTACAAAACGTTCCAGTTATTTCATATGCCTAGGAAAATTGTTACTAGTGTCACTGTGGCTTTATTATTTCTAATTCTGAGTGCTTACCATACTCAAAATGAGGAATTCTTAATAGTGAGAAACGAACTCATGAGGATCTGGGGCAGTGATTTCCTTCTGAAGCTTTGAAAGCATGAAAATCCCTCCTTCGCCCTGAGAAATCTTTGGGTTTTGTGCGTTCTTTGTTGCACAGACTAAAAGCGGGGCATATTCTCCATTCTGTTCTCCCTTGTACCTGGGCCAGAAAGGTAGGTTTGGGTAATGGGTTCAAACAGTTCATGAATTACATTACAGTTGGAAATACTAGAGCAGACCCATCAGATCTTGTGATAAACAACCTCCTCTTTGTGACTTGGGTAGGAATTTGGGAAGCCTGCTGACTTCTATATTTTACTTTCCATTAAGACACCTGTAATCGGGTTGTCGGTGGCATATTGTGGTGGTTGTTAGGTGCCGTGCTACGTTAAATGCAAACCCTCCCGTGTGTTCTCTTTCTGCAGCGCTGGTTCACCACATTTGCATTCACCGTGCTTGCGTTTCTCTCCATGACAAGTGTTCTTTCAGGACCTCAGCATGTGACACTGCTATAGGATTGCCAGATCTAATTTTGGCAAATTCGGGTGGGGAGGGAATCGGAGGAGAGAGATAATATGTTAATTGTCTGGCCAGTCTCAGATACAATCCTATGCTGCATCCCACCACAGTTGTAACCAGGCACTCAAGTACAGAAAAACCTGTATATGTGGGCTACTTGGAAACCCAGTACTACTGCAGCATGGGACCTTCAGTCTTACAAAGAGTCGGTGACAGTACATTTGATAGGCTTGGTGTGTAAGGGTTTCCTCCCAGACATAAAGCAATTATTAATTTATGCCAAAATTATATTAGATGTTATTTGGCAGTAGAAGAAAAGTAGTACATTTCCTAGTGCATTAATTAATTGAAGAGTCAGAATCAACAAGACGGCACTGGCCTCCTGTTTGCAGCATGGTATTAATCATATCGAATGCTATATAACTCTTAAACTGTACTGGGCACTGTTCTAAGGCTCTTACATGTCCATTTAACCCTTAACAACCCCATGAGCTAGATAGTTATTGTTGCTATTCCCCTTTCACAGAAGAGAAAAGTAACTTAGAAAGATTGGCACAGAGAATGATTTGCCCATGGGATCGAATTGGGATTTCCCCCGGTGGTGCTAATGGGTAAGTGTTAGATTGCTGACCACAAAATCCAGACTCACCATCGAAAGATGAGGCTGCTTGTTCCCATAAAGATGGAATGTCCCAGAAACCCTGTGTTGGGTTGCTATAAGTCAGGACTAATTGGCAGGGAGTTTACTCTAGGACCAACAGTGGGGTTAGCCTACCCCCAGAATTCATGCCTGTGGTCATTGGGCTATATGTTCTCTTAAACCAGGATGGTAATTACCATTAAAAGTAGTGTTGATAACACCATGACTATGCTTTGAAAGAAACGGGCACTTTGAAACGTGTACCTTACTAAAGCACTCAACATGTTTGTTTTGTTTATTCTAGGAGAAGATTTTGCAGTTGTGCAGCAAGAAATTATTATGATGAAAGACTGTAAACACCCAAATATCGTTGCTTATTTTGGAAGCTATCTCAGGTACACTGTTTTCCTTTCAAAAACCCAAAACGATGTCATTGAACAAAAGAACATTTGTGGAATATCATCTTTTTTTTTT